GTAGATTAATGGATTAGATAAATTCAATTTAATTTTATATTCTTAAATATTTTATAAACAATATTTTTTCTTTTTTATAAATAATAAATATGTTGTTATTACTTATTAATATAAATGAAAGTATTAATTAATAATTTGTAAAAGTATATAAAAATTTTAATATGCAAATCTATAAATTTTAAGTATTAAAATAAATTTTCTATTCTTAATATTTTATTTGTATAATTTTCTTGATATTAAAAATCATTTTTATATAAACATGGATTCGATAGACTATTTATTGTATTAGTTTATAAAATACTATTGTTTGAATATTATTATTTTAAAATTTTAGTTTTTTTTTGTATTTGTTTTGAAATTTTAGTTAAAGTTGTTAAATATAAACATGTGCTTTTTGTTAAAATCGCATGTAGATACAGAAGTTAATAAACTTTATTTTATTTACTATCACAAGGATAAACGTGATTTAGTGGCTTAAAATTGCATTTAAGGTGCAAGGCTTTGGCGTGCTCTGGTTATCCGAGTTTGAATCACCAAGCCTGCACTTTTTCATAGAGAAACATTGTGCATTGATGTGTAGCGGCCTTTATCGGTGCATATTGGCCTGTATTGCTACAATACATACTACCCACGGGATACGCTTCTGTTTGTGGTAGTGAAAATTTTTTTTCATATTAATTACTTGAATTTTACATATATCATAGTTAAAATAGAAATTAAAAATTTACAAAACTAACAATATGATTAAAAATAAACTTAAATGTTTGTAGTAAATGTGCACTTGCATTGCATGTGGAAATTTTAAATTATAATAACAAATTATTATTATTACTATTATAATTAAATTATGTATTCCATTTTTGTCATAAATAAAAAGAATTTTTATTTTAACAATTAGTTTTATTTAATATGATGAATATATAACATTAGAAATATTTCCAAATGTTTTTGACAAAATTTTACATTTTTTTATTTTTTGTGTTTCATATTTTTTTAAATATTTTTTATTCAATTATGACTTCATGAGTCTTTTGAAAAGTTGGATCATTGACCCGCCATCTAGATAAGAAAATAGCTTTTCTTTTGAATCAATTTTAAATTATATATTTCATCTAAATTATATAAATAATTTTTAATTATCACACTTTATTTTTGTTTGACATAATTAATATAAAATTTTTTTATATATTATTTTGATTACTTATACTTTTTTAATGATTTAGTATTTAACCATCATATCATTGATTAATCCGTTTGACCCAAACCACTAACCCACCACTCAAAAAGGAAAATATTTTGATTTCTAGGCTGACATTAAATTTTGTATTACATTTTCATCATTGATAAAATTATTTCTTATGTATGAAACTTATTTTTGTTCAATATAATGAATTTATAATATTAGAGATGTACCCAATATTTTATTTTTATAAACATATAGCATTAGATATGTGTTCAAAATTTTCTCTATTTTTTTATTTTTGTGATTCTTTGTATTTTCTATTTTAAAATTTTTATTATTTGACTATGCCATCATTTCATTTCTAGGTTGATTTTAAATTTGGCATTCCATTTTCATGGTTAATAAAAATACTTCTTACATTACAAACTTATTGTTGTTTAGCATAATGAATATACAATATTAGAGATATCCCAATTCTTTTTTTTTGTATTATATATTTTATTTATTTTAAATTTTTATTATTTAATTATGGTATTGTTTATTAACCCATTTGACCCCAAATGATTGAATTACTTACCCAACACTGGGAGGGAAAAAATGGTTTTGTTTTTAAAGTACTTTTCAAAATATTTATTTTATACTATTAAAGTTAATGTTATGAATTTAATTAATAGAATTTAATGATGGGAGAAATATATATTAATTATATGATTTAATGAAAGAATATGCCTTATATGTAAGATTTAATGAGAAAGAATAAGAAAATAGTTTTATTTCCAATTGGTTTTAATTTTATATTCCATTTTCATCATTAATAAAAACATTTCTTATTTATCATACTTATTATTGTTTAATATGTCAAACATATGATGTTAAAAATGTTCCCATTTTTTCATTTCTTTTTTTTTTGCATTTTATCTATTTTAATTTTGAATTTTATTATTTAATTGTGGCAACATGGATTGACTCATTTGGCCCAAAATGGTTTAATTTCTTACCACCACCTAGATGAAAACACTATTTTTTCTAAGTAGATTTTGAAAATATAAGTTTTTATGTTATTGGAATTATTAATTTATTATGTATATATTTAATTAATAGAATTGAATGATGAAAAGAAACAAAAATGTTTTAAATATATGATTTAATGAAGGTGAATGCAATTTAATACCTTAAATGTTGAATTTAATGAGAGGGAATTGAATTACCTCTTTTTAACTCATTTAATATCAATAACTGATTACCTTATTTGCCCTCATTTTTATCAATAAATTTAAATATGAAAGGGTAAATTTTATCATAAAAAAATTCTAAAAATATTTTAGAGGCTATTCATGCTTTTTAAAGTAGTATAGTTATAGATTTGAATGTAAGATGTTTCCCCACAGTTCCCTTTTGGGAAATTAATGTTTTAAATGTGATGTTGGAAAGCAAGAAGATAAGAAAGGAACTTGTGGTTTTATAATTATGAATAATAATAAGTATGTGGTGGTTGTAGTTGGTCCGTTGTACCTTTTGTGTGAAAGTGTTGAAGTAGAATTATGGACTAAAGATCATTTCTTTTGTTAGTGATCATTCATGGATGAAAGTTCAAATCTCTGGAAAGTAGGAATCGTGATTTTTTGCTTTTAGGGAATCCCTTCTCCATAGATGGAAAGTCCAAAAGGGAATCCCTTCTCCATCTCTCGATTTTCACATATAAACCTTAAATCCTAAGACTCTGTTTAGGAAGAATACATTTATGTATTTGGTAAGAATGCATTTATGTATTGAAAATGACAGATTTCATAAATTTCAAAGCATGTTTGCATCAAAAAATAAGAATAAAGTTGGCATCCAAAAAATAGATGCAAACTTTGCATTTATGTATTGAAAATGACAGATTTTTTCCTTTTGGAATAGCACACCAACACAATATTAACTCTCCTCCAAAGTCGGTGGTAGTGGGACTCAAATCCACATCTCCTCTAGCACAGTCCAACTAAAGTACCAACTGATTTACCCCTCAATTGACAATCTTGGGATTCATGTTTGCACTCATTAGGACTAAAAGTCTTTTGGCAAGAAAGTAAATTTATCAATGCAAAACTAAACCAACTCTTATTTATATGAACTGGAACGCATTGTATATATTTGTATTTACACTCTTCTTGAATAGAACTTAAATCTCTAAAATCTAAATCCTAAAATTAACATGTAAGGCTCCATTTGCGTTTCAGTAAGTTATTTACCCAGAGTAAGTGCATTGATCCATGTTCTTTTATTTCCCAAGTAAATAAGACAAAACCATTTTAGCCATAAGAATCCATTATTAAGAGGGGCATTTTTATCCCATCAAAGTTTTGATAATTTTTCCCCAAATGGGGAAGTTATTTACCCACTTGGGAGATGAATAGTAATAACCAAGAAAATAAATGTTTTCTGACCCCATACAAGTCTAAAAAAAGAACATGGATTTCTTGATCAATAAAATCCTATTGACCAACTTTCCCGGTCAAAATCCAAAAAACAAAGGCCCCTAAAATGCATTTGATATGGTGCATATCATCCAACGTGTAGGAGCCAAATATTTATGGGTCCAATCTCTCTTAATTCGGTTTTGTTTTTGAATGTGAAGCTATAGTTCTTTGGTTGGGTCTACTTTCAATATGTTTGGTTTGAATATTATTAAAAGAGGGAAAGGAAGGGAAAAGTAAGGAAACCTTTACAAACCTTATATAGGTTTTCTTATATTTTCCTTCAAACCAAACATAACGTTTAACCGTTTAGGTAAGATTATGAACTAATTGCAGTATTCTGATAAAGTTGTATTTATGAGAATAATCTATACTCTATAGTCAAACCCAACTTGTAGGGAAAATCTATAATGTGGGAAAGACATGGTATGGAAGAGCTTTGACCATGGTTTTTAAAACCGACTTGGAGATCGAACCGGTCAGGGGTTTAGTTATCGGGTCGAACGGTCTGATTGTTCAAACCGAACGCTTGGCCCATTTTGACAAAAAAAAATAAAAAACGGTCAAAAGCGTTAGAACAGTTTGAGCGATTAACCGCCCGATTCAACGGTTCATTGACCAAAATCAACGGTTTTAGGGAAAATCCAATTTTTGAGAAAAACAGAATCTGACCAGTTCCCAGTTCCTGGTTTTTCTAGTCCAACCATCTGGTCCGGTCCTGTTTTGAAAACCATAGTTTTGACCAATCAAAACCTACCCATGAATTTTAATAAATAACACCTGATTGGCTACCACCAAATCGAGGCTCATAGGATACTGCCCAATATGCTAGATGCTTAGATCTTTGCTTCGTTACGAATCCTGGTGCAATTGTCCACCGCAAAGAAAATGGGAATATGGAAAATCGGTAGTTAACATTGGGCAATGTCAGGCCAAGCTTACACTTAGGCTATGTTTGGTTTGAAGGAAAAAGAAAGAAAAGGAAGAAAAAAGTAGGAAAACCTTTATAATAGGTAGAGAAAGGCAATAGGTTTTCCTACCTTTTCCTTCCTTTTCCTACATTTTCCACGAATGCACTCTTAAAAATAGAAAATTACATGTTTGCCATTCTTCTACTTCAAAACGGACGCTTCAACCGAAAAAACTAACTTGAGTTACACATTTTCCCACTTCTAAACGAGACAACAATTTAATAGCTTGCACGCAAATCTCTATCCGTCCAAATGGCATCACACTACGACTCCTTAAGCATCAAAAGCTTTATAGGACGAAGGAACAAGATTATAACATGCTCCGTTAACATGAGATAAATTGCTAGCCTTTTAGTCATTTTTAATATTTCCTCTTCATTTCCCGCCGTTTCAAGAATTTCATCTATCTCTCTCTCTCTCTCACTACAAGACTGCAGCACAGCAGCAGTCATGGTTTCAGAGGCTCGATTTGTTGTTCTCTACCTCTTCGTGATCTTCACAGCTCTTGCAACCTCCTTTCGAACTGCAATAGCTTCGCCGAAAGGTCACCGCTACAACGTTGGGGATGATATTCCGCTGTTCGTCAACAAGGTCGGTTCCATGTATAATCCGAGGTACGCTTCAATCCTTCTTGAATCTCTGTTTGTTATCATTTTCTTGATTGTAGTATCGTAGAATTTGTAGGATCTTGGATCTTTACTTCCACTCTTTCCGTGGATGAGTTTTCAGTTTGATTGGTTTGCAGAATACTTGGACATTGCTTGGTTTTTTCGTAGGTATGTTTTACCTGGGTGTGGTTTAGGGTTTGAATTGAACCTGACGAATTCCTGAGTCTTTCTTAAGCGTCGATGTTATTATTAAAGTTGGAATTTTGTTTCGAAAAAATCCAGGTCTTGTTATATCTTGGTTAATACTCCTTTCATACGCTTCTGTCGTATTAGAGTTTCAAGATAAAGTTGCTCGCTGGAGCTAAGAAGTTACCGATTTATCAAGAATTAATGCATAAGTACAATATCATTCTTCTGCATCTCGATGCTTCCGTCAAATCTTATCTGTGTATTTCTTGTGAAGATTTCTAAGTTGATCCGCTTAGACATTTTTCCTCGCACATGCAGGGATGCTGTTTTATGTTTTCATTTTCCCCGTGGAACGTGAGTGTTTTTCTTCAAGTCTTGTCATAACTGGGTCTTAGTAGATCAACTAGATCTTATTAACTAGTTTTTGATGGCATGGAATTTCCCCCAATTCATGCCTCTTCACCAATTCAATGTTCAAATAGGTCAGGTATGAGTGGGTTCTAAAGCTTCCACTTGGCAGGCCCATTGCAGTATCTAATACTAATAAATGGACATTAACTAGACCATTTATTGGAAGATCTGGTTACTACAAATACCGAAACAAATTCAATGTCTTATCTTCTAGGAATGTTTTCCGGAAGGAAAAGCAATCTTGTAATATTATCACTAGTATTACTGAAGATTAACTGCAATGGCTGTAGTAGCGTAGCCATTACTATATTATTCAGTGTCACTACATTTTATTTTGGTGTGCAAGTTGGGCTTCAACTTGTGATCCCAAAATTGCAATGACTGTAGTAGTGTAGCCATTACTATATTATTGTTTCTTGAAAATCTCCATTTCCCTCTTGATCTTTAAATTATTTTAATTTAACTGTGTTTCTATTGCAGTGAGACATATCCCTACTATGACTTTCCATTCTGCCGCCCAGGTTGGTAACAGTATTATTATGAGTAAATATTTGAGAACGAGGAAGCTCAAAGCAAAACATAAATGCCATCAATATGGACAGAAATTGATGATGAAACCTTGTATATTTTCAGAAAAGAAAAAAAAAACCTATGTAATGGGGCATTGTCTCAAATCATACCATTTAAATGAGTTTTGTCATCCAAGTAAATGAACCCCTTTTGATATACATCTGATTTTTTTCGGAATTCATAATAATTAAGCAACTCAAATGGATAGAACCATCCAATTGGTTTTCTTTTGGGCGGTTCTACCAAAGTGCTCATTTGGGGTACATGTGCATTGAGCTTTGGGGGTGAAGGAAGGGCTTTGGGTGGTCAAGGATGAAGAATAGGGATAGAGTAGCGAGTAGACAAGTAGCTGTCAACCAAAGAATCAGTAAGAAATCAGAAAGAAAGGGATAAACTCTTGCTGTTAGGGTAAACATCAAAGAGACAGATCACTTATAAGAAGAAATAGGTGAAAGAAGCAAAAGAAAGAAAAATTCCTTGCAACAACCAGAATCTACTAAACCTGGCTTTATTTCATAGTATCAGTCCCTCTTTTTTCAATTACAATGACTCTATTTAGGAGCTTTTTGATAACATCCGAAGCGACTGAACCAAATGACTCATTTTTTGTCTTTCAATGGATAAAAATAATTAAATAATAACATATTTGAAGGCATAGTAATCAATCAAATTTCAGCTTCAGTCATTAAGGAGCTCACACGCTCCTTAAAAACTTTATCACTAAAAGACAAAGCAATAAGTCAATCAATTAGGCCACTTCGTTATCAAACAGTCTCTCACTCATCATAGAACTTGGATATCCCTTTACAGACTCCAATTTGGACTCAAAAACTGATCCAAAACGACTTCTAAATGCTTTTTGAGTAAGAACCCATAACCCATAGGAACACTTGAATTAGGACTCTGACTCCTAAACAACTCTAATAAAACTTTACTAGTTCTACTAAAATAACTTAATATAAACTGTAAAGAAACCAGAAATTACCAAAAATGGTAAATCATGATTTTACTATAAATAACAATTATGTGAATTGCTATGGCTAGTAAGTTCAAAAGTTATTATACATAGTAACTAGTCGGGACCCATGTGATGTACAGGCTTTGTCAAGTGAAATTGAAGTAGGAGCCCTATGACATTGTCAATTAAGCCAAGCCACTCCAATTCCAAACCAAGCATTATTTTTGGGTTATGTCTAGCTAGCACTATGACATTACTAATTAGTTAATCAACAAATTAATTAAATTGATTTTTAAATTAAAATTAAATGGAAACCAAGTTATAATATACTTATAATTTTTGTTTGCCAAATAATAAACAAATTGAGGCAAGATGAACCGATTGTTTTGAAACACTACCCTAGCTCTAGGTTCTCTTACTTGCTTCAGCAAAATGCTTATCGCCATCCTCTTTCCCCAGTAATCCATGACCTTCTTGGTCCTTTGGTTCTCCTCCAACTCCATCACTCCACCACTTAAATCCAATTCTTATTGCATTCCCAAGTAAGCCAAGTCTGTCTAAAAACTATTTTTAGAAGTAATAAGTTTTTATTAATTTTATTTTTTTTTAAATGGAATGTAAATGGATTGTAATTTTTTTGATGTTTTATCTGTATTAATTAATTTAAATTTTCTATTGAATAATTTTAAAATGTGATATTTTTATTAAAACCTTTTATTATATAAAATTAAATTTTATTAATAATTATAATTAAATGGTAGTATATTAAGTGGATTTTGAATTATAAGTTTTAAGTTTGAAATGAAATTTAAATGGATTATAGTTATAATTGAATGTAATTTTACATTTTAAATATTAATAGTTTTATTGATGAGTGAAGTAAATAATATTTATTCTTAAATGCAATTTACTTGATTAATTAACTTAAAATTAGTTATTTTTTAAACAAAAGTAGATTATTTAGCCTAATAATCTACCATTTAATGTTAAATGGGTTATAAACTATAATTAAATAGAACTTAATGTTTATTATGAAGTAAATAATAGTTATTTTAGTTAATTTAATTAAGTTTATTATGTTACAAATTGTAATTAGATGAAATTTCATTTTTATTAATAATTATAAATAAATGTAAGTATATTTGATGGATATAACATTATTATTAAATTGAAATGAATATAGATATAGATAGAGTTAAATGAATTTTAGGCAATTTAAAGGAGAAAATGAGAGGAGAGAGAATAAGTGGCATAAGTTATTGGAGGAGAGAGAGTTAATGGCATGATTAATAAGAAGAGACAATTGAAGGAGTTAATGAGAAAGCAGAGAGTTAATGAATGCGGAGAGATGTATATATTGGGATAAATCTTAGAAGTGATTGGTTACTTGAGTTATTTTGTTCAATTTTAAAAGCAATGAACAATAAGAAATTAAAAAAAAAACTAAAAAAAGCATGGGAATTAAATTTCTAAAAGACTTGTAACTACAATTCCTAAAAGACTTAATGGCCTATCCTTAAGACACCTACTATGAAAAAAATTTAAAAACTCAAAAATACCAATATCCATATCACCCAAAAATTCTTAAATTGATGTAAGAAGTGGACAATTTATTTATTTCTTTGTGTATTCTTTCCTTGTTCAGTATCTGCATCACTGAGGTAATGGACTTCCATTTTCATGAATTGCAGATCCAGTAATTGAAAAGAAGCGCACACTTATGGAGGTTCTGAATGGTGATATTTTGACCAATTCCCTGTATGTGTTGAAGTTCAGGGAGAACAAAAAGTTCGAAAGACTATGCGAAAAGAAGCTAACAAAAGATGAAGTAGCAAAGTTTAGAGATGCTGTCAGTAATGATTTTTACTTGCAGATGTACTATGATGATCTTCCTTTGTGGTTGGGTTTTGGTGATACTGAGGAGGATGAGGACTGGTTTCATAGTGAGATACCACCTTTGTATTATCTATACAGTCATATTAAGTTTGATGTTTTGTACAATGAGAACCAAGTGATAGAGGTTCAAGCTTTTAGTGACCTGCAAGATGGTGTAGATATCACTGATGATATTGAAACCAATGTTACATTTACTTATTCAGTTGTTTGGAGTAAAACTGAAGCTCCATTTGTGAATCGGATGGGAAAATATTCGGTTGCCTCTTTTTTACTGGATATTGTAAAGCTCCGCTCTTTCTCTCTCATTTACCGAATTGTCATCATTGCAAAATTGATAGGGATGCTTGCTACTCTGTTGCTGCAGAACCTCAGGGATGACATCATAAAGTAGTACATCATTTCCCTAATTGTTTAACTTATTAGAGATGTTAGTTAGTGCAGCTCTAGGCTATTGGCTTTTTTCCTTCATAGTATCTTATTAACTTGAATTGCAGGTCTTCTATGGTAAATGAAGAAGGTATGAAAGAGGTTGGTTGGAAATATACTCATGGTGATGCATTCAGCAATCCTCCATACACATCTTTGCTCTGTGCTGTTCTCGGCACTGGTACTCAGCTCTTGACCCTGTAAGTTGTTCCAAAGCAAACTTTTTCACAAATGCAGTGACCCTTTTTTGCCCTTTTTTTGTATAATTGCTACTTCAGAGAAGTTGTGTGATCTTTTTTTTCTGTACTCTGTAAGCTTTTCTTTTATTTCCCTTTTGATGTGGAGAGTTGCTCTGTAATCCAAGTCTGAAGACAGCCATGTATGATTGTGATGAACATAGTTACACACATATGGATATGCCTATACCCTTTAATTAGTTATTAGAGATTTTTATCCAAATATTACCACATTTTCCCAACCATAGTTACCTAAATTGCTTGATCCTACTACATTTGAACTGATACATTTCATGCCAGTTTGCAAGTCGGTTCACTATAATATTTAAATGCTTTCCCATGTCAATAAACTACCCTTTAGAGAATTGAAAATATCCAGTTCTTGTAGGAAATATATCATTCAGTTATGAAAAAGAAAGTTAGTACCTAGCATTTAGGAAACTTGAGATTTTGTTGAAGAAAGAAAAAAGAAAAGAACTGTCAAGTCCCATGTGTTTCCTTCTTGAGCAAAATAAATACAATCTGGACTCTTTGGAATTTGAAGTTACAAATGATAAACCCAAGCAAATTAGACCAATCAAATAGCCAAAAAACAAATTTTAGAAGCCTAAACATAACGAACTGGGCTCATTTAAGAGTAGCTAATTATGTACCATCAACCCAAATTTGAACTAAGCAAACCAACGGCTCACACACACACACATCTGGGTTTCTTTACCTGTATTTCAATTTTCATGCAATTCACTTTTTCTTCCATTCAGAACATCATGATAATTTGGATGTTTATTCATTATAACCCAATTGCCAAAGGCTTTTTGTGTTCATTGCCTCTGGCATTTTCATTCACAAAACTTGTTCATATGCTCATATATGATTTTTTTTTTTAACTTGTTGCTGTTATCATCAAGTTTATGTATCTTTTAAATCACATCTACTTTTTGTTCAGGTTCTTCTTTGTATTTCTTCTGGTACTTTTGGGTGTTCTCTATCCATATAGTCATGGAACACTGTATTCATCTCTTGTTGTGATCTATGCTTTTACATCCATGGTTGGTGGGTATACTGCTTCTTCTTTCCATGTTCAGTTGGCAGGAACTAGTTTGGTAATAGTTACATGTGCTTATCTTAAAACACTTTCTTAATTAACTTGTGTTATCACCTTGTTTCTAATCAAGTAACCAAAAGTTGTTTCTTGCAGAGGAGAACTATTCTTCTGGCAGGGGTTCTCTATTTTGTTCCACTTTTTGCAATATTTTTGGTCCTGAACAAAGTTGCTATCTCCTATAGAATCACAGCTTCTATCTCATTTAACACCATAGTTGTGCTTCTTCTTATATGGACTCTTCTCAGCATCCTGATGTTCACCATAGGTGGTGTACTTGGATATACTTTTAAGTCTCATTTTCGAGCTTCTTGTTCTACCAGGAGAGGCCCGAAAGAGACCACAACTTTAGCTTGGTACAGAAAGACACTCGCTCAGATGTTTCTTTCAGGTGTTTTATCATTTTGTACAGTAATTATGGAATTAGACTACATATATACAAGCCTGTGGTGCCACAATATCTTCACAGAATCAGGAACTTTCTTTATCATGTTCATCCTTCTCATAATATACACCGCAATCCTGAGCATTGGGATGACATATGTGCAGCTTTTAGGAGAAGACCACGAATGGTGTTGGAGGTATATATACATATCTCTCTTGGTTCCCCAACATACTCAATTTCAAATTCTCCTTGCAGCAAGATATGCATATTTTATCATCTTTGAGTCTAGAATATACTGGTCAGTTTGGTTCTTAGGTATTTTTATGGTACATTCCCAAGCCTATGAATAAATGTGGCAACCCAACTATTTAGATAGAGATCAATATTAATTAGCTAAAAATGACACTTGCAACTTGGCTTTGTCTGTTCTGCAGGTCTGTCTTGCGGGGCGGCTCAGTTTCCATTTTCATGTATGGCTACTGCATTGATTTCTACTCTAGATCAACCATGAGTGGTTTTATGCAGCTATTGTTCTTTTTTGGCTACAATGCTTGCATATGCTATGCCTTATTCCTTGTTCTTGGGACTGTTGGTTTCTATGCTTCCTTGGTATTTGTTCGTCATGTTTACCATGCTGTCAAGAATGAATGAATGGATAGTCCTTGCAATTCCTGAAGTGGTCCTGGTAATATTTTTGCATGTTCATGTTCAATGTTCCATGGGCCAATCAGTTGGCTTCTTAGTCAAGAGATATGAACCTTAGCTCCATCAACTTTGAAATGAAGAAAACCAATGTACTAGAAGCATGCTATGATGACATGCAAGATTTTTGTACTGTAGACAATGTATACAAAAATCACAGAGATTTACTCACACAAATACTTTTCGTTAAATACATTTGTAACTGATACAATTCTTGATCCATTTTTGGTCCTATTTGGCCAATCATGTGACTGTCATGTAATCTGGAACAGATATGGAAACAGTAATTTTTTAGAATTTCATTGTTTTTTATTAGCTGCGAAGAGGGTTACATAATATAGCATGATAAGGATTCATAGCCCACTCCACAAATAGGGGATCTAGTTGAAAATCATCTCATATATATAGCAAATTATCTTAAATTCAGTCTTGATAACCATAACAAAGTATCAGAACTCTGAAAATTGAATTAGCTAATAAATTGGACTTTGGAGTAGCAATGCTTGCCTTGGCAAGTAACCTGGTCGACTGGTCACTTTTACTTGGTTCAAGTTGAAAAACTCAAGCCATTCGGTTAGGTGGTGTTTGAAACTTGCTTTTCTAATGGTAAGACCCAGTCTCATGTCTTATTAGAATCAAACATGATGAAATGGCATTAATGCCCTCATAATCCAATTCCTAAAATACCACCAAATTCCCATAATCCTATTTGTATAATACCCACAAATTAGATTATTTTTAGGTGGTTGTCTCGGGGTGGGGAAAATTTGGGGATTCCCCATCCCTGATAGGAAATAGGTGCCTTGCCTCGAACCCACCCCACCACTAGGGACGAGACGGGGATGGGGTAGAGTGTCTCGACTATGGGGGCGAGGGACAGGGAGGAGTGCCCCATCCCATGCATCGCAYGGGGCCTGCTAGTATATACTAAAGTAGAACTTGCCATGTCATTAGTCCTCTCCTTGCTCCGTTACCCAACCCGAGCAATTCTAGAGGGGGTGCAAGATTCCCTCTAAAAGCACTAGGAGTTGCCACCTAACATGGCTTATCTCCTTTTTATTAGGAAACTAACTATCTCCCACTTTCTCCTAAATTATCTCCATCTCTCCCTAATTCTTATTTATCTCCTAAATTGTCTCTAATTCCTACTTATTCTCTCCCCAACTTTTCATCTATATTATGTAAAGAAAGTTTCAATTAAAACATTTAAAAATTATTTAAATATTAGAATGAAATTATGACAATAACATTAAAATATTTATTAAAAACACAAAAATAATTATAATAGGTATAATAATAATCATATTATTAATAATTTTATATTTTTATGAAATGCACAATGAAATTATAATTTTATGGATAAATCAATTAATTTAATAACTAAATAATATTTTAAAAACACAAATAAAAATTATTTAAATAACAAAAAAGATTAAATATTTAACATATTTTTTAAATATTTAACATAACTAAATTTTAAATAGTTAAAATAATGAAATTATGTAATAAATTAAAAAAAAATCTTAAGAGTAGAATAATAATTATAATAGATTTTATAACTTTTGAATTAATAATAATTTTATATTTTACAAAATTAATAATAAAATTATGTAATAATAGTATAAATTATAATTCCATGGATTATTAAATTTAATAAATAATTAATATTTTAAAATTTTAAATAATGGTATTGTTCAAGTAGTCAGTTTGGGGAGTTGGTCACTTGAAACCAATCAACCAACCATTAGTGAAAATCATCCAACTTGAGTTGTATTGGTCAATGTTTTAAAAACGAACCCGAAGACCAACCCGCTTTTGCATCTAGGTTGTGGTCATCGATTCAACCGTCTTGATGGAATAGGTTAGACCGTTCCACGTTAGTACTCTATATATTTAAATAAATATATATTTATATACATATGTGCATATATGTATGTGTGCAAATACATATTTTATTTATAAATAGTGTATAATTATGTTTTACATATAATATATAATATATGTATTATTTTGTATTTTAATTCAATTTTAATTTTTTGTTTATAAAAAAATGTCAAAAATTGCGATTTGATGACAAAAAAGGGTTTTTTTTTTTCACAAAAATAGTGAGGCAAGGCACCACAACACCTTAGGACGCATAGATCTTGAAAAGTTACCCAAAATAAAAAGAAAATATCATGCCAATTGAACATCGAACTGCAAAGTTATGGCCTTTGAAAGTTTGCACATGTATTAAGTATGCAACATGTAACCCAGTGATCGGTCGAACGAGTCAACAATTGAATCCTCCATATTGGATGGTTTTTTACCAAGTTAACAGTTTTTGATTGAAAGGTGGGCTTTAATAGAACTAGACTTGGAATCAAGGTCGGGTGACAGTTCTAACGATTCAATTGACCTGGTTAATGGTGGGTTGAAAACATTGGAATTGGTTTGGCCATTTTTCAGTTTGGTTGGTTAGTTTAAAAATTTAAACTTAAAAAAATTAAATTATATTTAAAAAATACAATGATATTATTAAAAGAATAAATTTAAAAATTGAAGTTTATAATATAAAATATTTTAGACTAAGAAATATGGGAATTTTCCACTTTCCTATATTAAAAAATTATATTTGAAATATAAAATATTAATATATATTTATAAGTGGGTTGGTTTACAAATTGCCAAAACGAAACTAACCTGACTTGGTCGGGTTGGGAAATTGCTGAACCGGAACTGACCAGAGTACTAAGTGACCAACTCAGGTTGAGTTGGGTCAGTTTGGTCAATTTCATCAGTTTCATATGCACATCATTAGATGAAATTAATAATTATTAATTTAGTCAAAGCTGAGGTGAAGACATGAGACCAGGTCTCATTAAAATCTATATTTAAAGTATTTTTCTCATTAATAAATTCTATTAGACCTAACTTAACAATTTAAATTGTTCTTTATAGATAAGTAATTCAATTATTTAGGTTAAATGGGTCGATGCAATAATTAAATTATAAAAATTACAAAAAATGTATAGAAAAACATAGAATTGATATCTCTATAGATAAACAAAAACATAAAATTTATAGAAAAATTTAGACACAATAAGTATCATTGCTGTAGTCATCAACATTTGCTAATATAAGCAAAAACCATAGAATTGATATCTCTACAGAAAAAAAAATATCTTCTGCCTAGGCACGTCAATAGAACGTGTTAATTAGGTGTGCCCCTAGTGAAAAATGGGTTGAAGAATGTCAACCCCATGACAGGTTTGGATCAGCTTCAAGTTATTTTTATTTTTTTTAGTGCCTTCTTTGTATTTTCCCATTATTCCATTCTTTATCCGACCCCACTTTGCCACAGCATCCATGGCGTTTAGGCAGTTAGGCCCTCAGCCCTCATTATTTCCCAACTCCCGTAAGTTGGCCGGGTATAGCTACAGTCAGTGTGATAAGAGATTTCGGCCAAGTTCGCTTCCTCTGTTCCTGTGTTCGTCTGGAGCCCACCTTGCGCTGACACCTATAAATCTACGTGACTACCATCTCTCTCTCTCTCTGGTCTTACCAACCCCAAAAGGCTAAAACCCAAATAGAAAAACAACAGGAGAGCAAAGTATCTGGTCTACAGCCATCTTACCCATTCTCGGTCCTCCTCTCAATGTAGTGAACCAGTTACAAGAATCTTCTTTCAAATTGTTGGAGAATCTTCTTCACTGTTTCACAAGACTCTACAACTCACGGAGGTGCACTTCTCTCTCTTTTTCTCTCCTGAGAATCTCGTACCATTTGCTCATAGTTTGTCTCTGTTTTTACTGATGTTTTAGGGAGTGCGTTGGTTCTGGGTGCTTCCTTTTGATTTCATTAACGCTCATTTTTGTGGGTTTAGCTGCATGACATTTTGCATTGTTTCTGTCCATGTTGCTTCTAATGCACTTGTTGCTCGTTTTTGTTTCTGGCTCCACCCCACTCTAATCCCCTTTTTTATATCCTTCCGGAGCTTCTTGGTTGGATTACGTAAGTGCTTTCCGTTTAAGTGATCAGGTTCTCGGAGCAAGTTTATACCAGAATCATATTTTCAGATATTTGGTCCACAGTTACATACATTTGGGCATTTCTAACTTAGGGTCACTGGATCATTGAGTTTTGTTGAATTTCATTGAGATTTGTTTGAACAGCTTCCATGATTAGAACATTGTAATTTTATTAAGTATTTTATTCATTTTATTTTATCTATTTTAATTATGAACAGGCTACGGAAGGAAGGTTCCTGATGGAATTATTGACATTTGGAAATTTTGTTCTCTGAGTCTCTGGAAACCGTTCTACTTGCTACAATCTCAGAAATATTGGCTTGCTCATTTAAGATGGCAACTCATTTACCATGTTTTACATCTGTGGACACTAGAAATTCAGTGGGAGTATTAGCTATTCTTGGAGGAAGAGTTTCAATTGAGAACCATAAGTGTAAAATTAGCTCATTGAAGATGCTTGATGAGAAGAGCGGGATTTTTGGTCCCATCCAGAGGATTGCTTCAAATATGCCTCATTTTAGATGTTTGGCAAACTCCCACATTGTCAACGCATGCCACAGTAAAGACCCATTCTTGAATCTACACCCTGAAGTCTCAACGCCCAGACGAGGTCAGGGAAGTGACGTGGTAACAAATCCAAGAAAGGAGAGCTCAGGTAGCAGCGTCACCGAGAGCTTAGGAGACTTGCCTGCTTCGAGTAATTATAATGAAGCTAAGATCAAAGTCATTGGTGTTGGGGGTGGAGGATCCAATGCCGTCAATAGAATGATTGAAAGTTCGATGAAGGGTGTGGAGTTCTGGATAGTTAACACAGATGTTCAAGCCATGAGGATCTCACCTGTTTTTCCTGAAAATCGCTTGCAAATAGGTCAAGAGCTAACTAGGGGTCTTGGTGCTGGTGGTAACCCAGATATTGGCATGAATGCTGCCAAGGAAAGCAAAGATGCAATAGAAGAGGCCCTATATGGTGCTGACATGGTTTTTGTTACAGTAGGTTCCAGTTGTTATTGACCGCTACAGTTTTATTTTCCTGAACTGAACTTGTGGCATGCTCTTAAAATCATGTATTCTGTACATATGTCCAATTTCTATTAACAAAAAATGTATGTCCCATCCCATTAACTCAAAAAGGTGGCTGTTCAATTGGTTGGTCACTTTTTAGATGGGGAATAACAATGGACCTATAAAAAGAGTATTATCTTCTTGAACTAGAGCTGAAACCTAGGCAAGTTAAGAAATATGGAAAGGGAAAAATCTTACACACAGGATTTTTGTTATGTACTCCATTCAGGAGGTTTCCAACAACTTCTTAGAGAAGGTGCCCCATGTGCATATGGGTTCTGAGGGATGATAACCAGAATTGCATCATTCTGTTCTTTTTATTTTATCTGTATGTTGCCTGATGTTATCCTCCCTAATCTTTTAAGGTAATAGTTGATATGTAGCCTGCTGTTCTCCTCTCTACTGATCTTATTTATACATTTAATAATATTGGAAGTTCGATCTATATTTAGAATCAAATTCCAGCATTATTGTAGCTATCATATATCTCTATTATTTTTGGAACCACTTAGGTTCTGTTTGGCATCGATATGTTTCATGTGTGTTCCATTTCACCAATTTTCCACATCAAAAAAAAAAAAAAAAAACAAAGGAAACACCATTAAATCATATTTGGAAGACTATTTTTTAAGATATTGCTCCAATATGTATGCCTTGGGTTTTGTGAGAGGGAGTAACCTTGAATGGTTGAATCATCAAAAATGATGTTTCTTGAATCACTTTTGTTATGTGGCACATTGAAATTTGAAAAATCTGACAGCATTTCTTAGATGTCATACCTTTATTTTAATGAAATTATTTCAATAATATAGTCAAAGCACTTTAAACATCCAATGAGCATATATCTTCTCAAAAATATAAATGATGCATATTCAGGGACATGGCTTTCCCGATTCTTGATGAAACAGAATGTGAAATGCAATGGTTCCAAATAAGCTCTTAATGCAACACATCAATTTGTTGTATCATAATGTGCATAACTGTCACTACAAGAGAGATTCTTCTGAATATATGAAAAACCTGCATTTCCATCAATGCTCCAAGCCGTGTCGGGCCGACACGGAACGGCCCGCAGGTGGCGCGCACAAAGTGCAGGCCGTGCCGTCCTCCCCGGTAAAAATTTTGGGGGTCAGCCCGGCACGGCCCACGGCCCAGGCCTGCGTGGGCCAGTGCCGTGCCACTGGCCGGGCTGGCCCGTGGACCAAGCCTTGGCCCAAGTCGGGCCATGGACCGGGCCAAAGCTATTTTTGCCTATTTATTTAAAAAAAATTGAAAAAAACTTAAAAATTTGAATTTTATATGAATTTTGATGTATACAATTGCTTATATATACAATAATTAAATAAATTAGTATAATAAAATTGAAAAAAGTTGTTTGTTTTATTAATATATTATATACTATATATTATTATATAATTATAATTTATATAATATATTATATATTATATATAAATATATAAATATTATGTAAATATATAAAATATATATAAATAGTATATACCGCGGCACGGCCCACTTGATCGTGCCGTGCCGTGCCGGCCCGTGGACTTCAAATCCCAGGCCCAGCAAGGCACAGACCGTCGTGCCGGGCCTGGCACGGCCTGTGGGCTGTTGTGCCTCGTGCCGGGCCATGCCAGGCTGGTCCAAAATCGTGCCAGGCCATGGGCAGCCCGATTTACACCTCTATTTTCCATATATTGAGTATTTAGAATTGTTATGTTTTAGTTTTGGCAAATTTGAACAGAACATAAACCTACCATAAGCTTTGGTTCTATCCTTTTTAGTAGAAGCCTGTGTATGGGAAAATCATATTACAAGAAAAGATGTAATGTCATACAAATAATTATAGATATATTTTGTGATAAACTGTTGTATTCCAAAATAAGTTATAATATTTTGATGGATCCCTGGATGTCTCTGCTAATTGGTATTTGTGGAGTGTGAAATTCTATGCTAGTAATCATGCATTTTGATGCCTAATCAATTGTCACTGTTTTTTGTTCGGTATAAGGGCAGCCAATTGTATTGCTATGATGAGTTTGCATATCTTATCTTGCATATTTTGTTCCTCTTTTCTCCTTTTTCTTTTAATATGTTTAGTTAATAATGGAAAAAATCCGTTCCATATCCAATGATGTGCAAACTGCTCAATATCTTTTCTTCTATGTTTTTCCCTTTACATGATCTAAAGCTTTTACATACAGGCTGGCATGGGTGGGGGAACTGGCACTGGTGGGGCTCCAGTAATTGCAGGGATTGCAAAGTCAATGGGTATCTTGACTGTTGGTATTGTTACAACCCCTTTCTCTTTTGAGGGTCGAAGGCGGACAGTTCAAGCACAGGAAGGAATTGCAACATTGAGAAACAATGTTGATACATTGATTGTCATTCCTAATGACAAGTTACTGACTGCAGTTTCCCCATCCACTCCTGTGACTGAAGCATTTAATTTGGCTGATGATATACTTCGACAAGGTGTTCGCGGTATCTCTGATATAATTACGGTATGAATTCCTGAAGAAACTGTTTATGAAGATTCTAACCTTTTCATGAACTTTTTGTCGTCACATAACTGTGTTGTGGGGTAATATTTGTACAAGATCTATGAGTCTATGAATGAACTAATTTATCATATTTAAGCTGTCTAGAATTCAGTCTGTTTAGTTATTCAGTAAAAAATGTAATTTTAATCTGTTGGGCTTTGACAGACCCAGGTAATCTTTCAACTCCAAATGTTCATATTCATGCACTTCAAAGGGAGATTGGTCAATTTTTATTATAAACTATTAAGCTAGTTGTTGACTATTCTGTGGTGTTGATGTAACAAAGATGCTGAATTTTCTGAATTTTGAATGACTGAATTTGTAAGAGAAATCTATTACGAATAAATCTAGCCTAGAAATGAATTTGTAGTGGTTCTGTGCTGCTTGGTTCCACCTATCTAGAAAGCACATTGATCCTCCTAGACAGGTTTCTTCCGTGTTGTGTAAGTAAAGCAAAAAGAACACCTCTATTGCAGAAAATTTTGAAGTAATTCAAGGGTGGTGTGGTGCCCAAAATTCAAAAGGCCCCTTTTGGATTGGGAGGTTAGGGAGTGTGTGGTTCTGCTCTCAAAAGTACAATCAGTTGAGATGCAAGATGGTGGAAGGAATCCAACAATGGCATTTTTTTAGTTAAATCATTTTACAAGGCTTACTAAGGAATCAAGTGGAGAGATCTGAGGTGAAGGGAGTTTGGTAAATCCTATTCCACCAAGAGTGGAAGCATTTCCTTGGCTAGTGGCCTTGGAAAGTATCTAAACTTTCGATCACATCCAAAGCAGGGACATCCAACTAGCAGGAAGGTGTTACTTGTGTGAAGCTGCTTAGGAGAATGTTCTACATCTGTGCTTTGGTTGCTCATACTCAAAAGTTCATTTGGGGATGTCTTTGGGCTGTTCAGAACTAATATGGCGAAACCAAGGACTCCTGGAGACATTTTTGCTTGCTGGCTTACAATGAGAGGAAATATTAAGGCAAAGATAGTTTGGATCTGTGTTCCTTTTGTCATATGTTGGGAATTGTTGAATGAAAGAAACAAAAGGATCTTTGAAAACATACCTTGAAGAAGAGATAAAACCACTCTTTTATGTGGGAAAAGGATAATAGATTGGGTGCTTGTACTTCCAGAATTTGAAGGAATTCCAAAGGAGGATCTTGGTGTTTTTTTTGTCTCTTCTTGGTTTTTTGTGGTGATTCCTCATCACCCTGGTTGATGTACTCATCTTTTTATCAATAAACTTATATTTTTTATTTATTACCAAAAAAAACATCAAACTCAAAACTCAACTTTGATGAATGTTCCCTTCAGGAGCAGTAGAGTTCATGTGATTTTGGCCTACAACAGTGAGGGGGAATTCTGTTATGATGGAGATTATGTTCCCTTCTGGAAGGGATCGAGATTCTCCTTCTTGATGAGTTTCAACGGTCTTCTGGTTAGATGTGACACCTAGACTGTGATTAGCTGGTTATTGATCCTGAGACGGTCCCCAGAGGCCAAGTCCTTTAGTAACATTCCACTGGACCTCAGTATCTTCTAATTTGATTGCTGATAGGCTAGCCAAGGTGTGTGTTTGCGGATCTGTCTTGTACTGGTGCACTTTTCTACCTACACCGTATTGGGTTTGTATATGTCAAATTGTCAATTCCTGTTTCCTCCCTATTTTGGAGGATCTTGTTATGTTTATTGAGGTTTTTTTGAACCTTCTTTTCTAATAAAAATCTCTTTATTGTTTCCATTCAAGAAATAAAAATTGAGTTTACCCAATCAATTTCAATCCTTTGGTTACTATGAGATGAAGCATATTGTTCTATCCAGGAAATAAAAATTATCTTAAATGGTTCTGATCATCCAATCTGGTCAGCTTTTTTCAGCTATGAATTTTTGCTCATTGCGTCTTCATATTCTCTCTTGTGTGTGGATGTGTTCCCTTGGTACAAATGGGCCTTCATTACTTGGACTCATTTAGGTATCATGCAAAATTTATATCTTCCTTGTTCCCTAATGCATTGTGGATTCTTAAATTACAGGTTCCCGGTCTGGTTAATGTAGATTTTGCTGATGTTCAAGCAATCATGGCAAATGCAGGTTCTTCTCTGATGGGGATAGGAACTGCAACAGGTAATTCCCATAGGCTATTTTTTTGATGAATAACATAGACTTTTCATTAAAAGTTAAAGAAAGTAGTACAACATAGGAAGGGGAGAGGTAAGCCCTCTTAATCCTCCCCTAGGGAAAACAACAATCAAATTACAATATTGCCAAAACAATTGTTCCCTTTCCACCCCTTGGCCCTTGCTTAGCAAGAGTATCCACAAAGTAGTTGGCACTTCTCTTTACCCACTTTATCTGAATTTCCACATCTTGTGCTAGCCAATTAAACAATTTTTTTTCATTAGCTAACTTCCATAGACCACTATTTTCTTTTTGCAGCCAACCAATAACCAGCTTTGAATCCCCTTCAACAATAAGCTTGTGGCAGTTCAGTTCCTTAGCCTTCTCCATGCCTTCCATCACAGCCAAGATCTTAGCCCGGAGTGAGTCACCAACACCAATAGGACCAGAATATAGAGCAATGACTTTTCCTTCTTCATCTCTAAAGGCTCCACCTATGCTTGAGGGCCCCGGATTACCTTCACTACTACCATCAAAGGCTATTTGAGGTTTTGGGAGGGGTGGACTGGATATGGACCTAGGCTTATGGCAGTTCTTGCATAAAGTGGCTGCTCTCAGACTCGAATCCCTGTTCTTGTACTTGTCAGCCCAATATTTCACCTTTGCACAAAGCAATGATACCTTCCATCTAAAAGTTCATCTGAGCATGAAAGGAAAATTCCTATATAGCTCATTTTATTTGCTCAGATACTTTGAAGAAGAGGTTCACAACTTGTATTGGACTCAACATTGAAACCACATGCCCCAGTTGGTGTAACCTTTGTCCGAATGGGGCTTGTTTGATAATGTAGGAATATTTGAGCAATGCTTACTGCAATTTTGAAGAATCAAAAAAAAAAAAAAAGCAAAAAGGCGCCTACTCAATTTTGCACTTGCTGGATGCAAAGGGTGGTTCATTCTAGTAGTCTAGTTCAATGAGAATTTATATCACATGCATGGTAGTAGGGATCTCACCACATATAGTTGTCTGTGGTGGCGCTTATGATACCAAATTGCCATGCCTGTACTATAGATGTTCTGTGGAGGTGATCACAACAAAGGTCAGGGAAAAGTGCATGCTAAGCATTGGAAAATTGATTAGTCAGTGTCTACTGGCATGATAATGATTTGAATACCAGAATGAAGATATTAAGGATTGGACATGACATGGAAATGAAAAATACTGGACAAGCTAAACTGGAAGTACAAATAGTGCTAGGTAGCAATGAAATATATATTTTTATTTATATATTGTCATTTCACCATTATAATAAGTTACTATTTTAACCGTACAAAATTAAAATTACCACTGAATTGCATGCCATAGCAAGGTAGTAATGAACGAAAAGACCTCTACAGCAAACATGGTATCAATAGTAAAGGAGATAAGCAAATGAAGCATCACATTAGAGAAGTGGAAGCTCTTGCATTTAGGGTGAACATCTCATTTACATTTATCAGGAAATCAGCAAATGCTTTGATGATAGTTTAGCCAGATCAGAGGTGGATAGAACAGAATTATGTTGAGGGTATTCTATTCCATATTAATAGATTACAACTGTATTTTTCAGGGGAGTATTGTTTTTCGGTTTGTCTTCTTTGAGAGTACAGAGAGGTCTACTGTTTAGACCATGCTTGTGCTTTCTATCTTTTCATTTTTTTAACTTATTAACAAAGTACTGAAGTGCTTTGCTACTGATCAAGATAAAATCAACACTAGAGGACAATATACAGTATATAACTGGTCTGATAATCACAGAAAAAAAAGAGGGAATTTATACCAAAAAGGAGATACTAATTGATCAAAAAGAAAAAAGAACACAGAAAATATGAAGTGTCTTAGGGCTGAAAACCTGGGCATGGTTATCCCCATCAACCCTAAACAATTCTCCCCTTTAATTGTGCCAGCCAAGCCATTTGCTGATATTGGGATCCATCTAAATGAGCAGTTCAGATTAGAGGGTAATGCCTTTGTTTCTCTAATACTGTGCCTAGGAGTCTAGAAGCTACCTTTTCTCTATAGAAATTCAAAATCAAAACTGAAATTCACACTATTTCTTGGAGAGGGTGTTCCAGGAGCAGTCCAACTTAGGTTTGATACCAGCTGGTTGGGCAACCCCAGGTCCTCTTATATTACTAGACTTGTTTCTGGTAGGGGTGGATGGCTGGTGGGTGGATGTATAGCAGATGATCTTGTAAAACCTAGAATAAGTGGGAGGATGTATAGTGAATCCTCTATTCTTTGATATAGCACACATAAATGGGTTGGTGATTCTTTTTGACGTGTCCATCTTGTTGCCTTTTTCCTAATTTCCCTATCTTAATAAATAATAATTTTCTTTGTTTGTTATTGCTCAAAGTCAAAGAAAAGAATATAACTTAACACCATAAACACACTTCTTATCAGTTTGGTGTTGCATACTTCTTTGTAGGCAAGACCAGGGCAAGAGATGCTGCATTGAATGCCATCCAATCACCTTTACTGGATATTGGTATTGAAAGAGCCACTGGAATTGTGTGGAACATCACTGGTGGGAATGATTTAACTCTGTATGAGGTATGCTTACTTAACAATCTAATTGACTTGAAACGAAGCTTTTCTGTTTCTGTATTCTTTTGATAATTTTTTTTCTGTTCAACCATCCATGGACTTGAACAAGAATGTGCATGAGGGTTGGCTACATTAGTGCTATGCATAGTCTAAACTAAGCCTGGGTTCATTCAGGAAATCATTAACTTCAAGAATGTCAGTTAATCCTACAATGTTGCCTTTACCTTCTGATTCATCAAGTCAAATTTAAGATTTTTTTAATGGAAATGAGCTAATGAAGTCTTCCTTGAAGGGGCCCTTCACCATGTTTATTGCTCCTATATGTGTGTTCTTGGCATGTATTCCTTATTTTGGTTGGTTTCATAGCAAGGTTCAAAGTATCATTATGATATGCCCCATATTAGGCATATCGTACCGTATCTTTTGGTCTCCAATATGCTATTTAAGGGGAGTTAGCAGATCTTGACAATTTTGTATTTTAAAAGACAACGATGTAATGCCCCTGTCAAAATCTGACACCAGGAAGATAAAAAACGGAGTTTTGGTCAAGATAAAACTCAAGAGTGTCAATACTTTGAGCCATGGTTCTTAGTATCTTCTGTTTTAATTATTCTTTTGTGCTTTTCTATAGCTTTTGTTGCCTATTTGATAGGAGCTAGCTAATCCTCTAATTTTACTTTTTTTACATTTAGGAACCTATTGCTTTGCTGTGTTTATTTATTATATATTACTTTTTATTGGTTGGTTCTTTAATATTTTCCCTTGGTGATTGCAGTGTGAAAATCTTTTTGATGTTCTTATAGTTGATAATCTTCCTGTTTTCTTTTTCTACAATGTTGATTTCTTAGTTGATGGTCCACTCAAATAATGGTATAAATGTCCCATTCAATACTTTCCTATCTTTTATGAAACCTTCCATATCAGTGCTTGGCTGGCATTATCCTTGCCCAATTCTCACTTTGAAGTTGTGGCTGCAGAAGAGTAGGTATAATATTTGCTGCTTTGGTATAGGGAATTAGGGATCCAATCCTATTTTCTTTCTTTCTTTTCCTCAATTTGGACCCAAATCTTTTCCTTCTACCATTCAAGTCTATTGATTTGGCAATGAAGGATGAATACTTCTCTTTCTCCAAGTGATTATAGTCAATTTTTAGCATGATCAGTGTATTGCTTTTTTGCTAGGAAGGTCTTAGTAGCCTCCAAAACTCAGATGATATTGATTCTAAACCAGTCCTCTTTATTGATATGTTCATAATTCTGTTCCATATTGGATTTGTTGCAGGTAAATGCTGCTGCAGAGGTTATATACGACCTTGTGGATCCTAGTGCAAACTTAATATTTGGAGCAGTTATAGATCCATCACTCAGTGGTCAAGTAAGTGAAGGAGCTTTAGGCATCGCATGGACTTGCTTTTCTTTTTTTTTTTTTTTGTTTTTCCATTGGTTGTTGATCACTATTTTTTTTTTTTTTTTTGTGAATGCAAGCATTGCTTATGTGGACTGAATAGTACGACTGTTAGTATGGTAGATGGTAAGAAAATCAAGGTCATGGCATGTTTCGTATGGAAGATTCTTACAAAGTGAAATTGGTTTTATGGTAGTGATAACCTCATCTACAATCTGGATCCTGATCATAGTTATCAAATTCTTACAATTTTACAATATGATTCACAATTCAAATCTTAAATCCCAAGGGTTTTGTTTCAAATCTTATGTCTGGATCATTTTATACAAAAATCTTAAAATTACTATTTGAATCCTAGTACCGGATTCATGAATTATATGATTTATATGATTCAAACCAATTCCATTGAGGCCTAGTTCTCAACTTTGTCGTTCCTTTGTTTTTCTTTTTTAATTTTTTTTTCAAGGGGCTCTTTTTTTTTAAACCCTTAGTAAAATATGTTATTCAAGCCTTATAAACCTTATTTTATTTGCATGTGGGTTGATTTGATTGACTTCCAAATCAACCTTGATTATATCATCTTATGCTTCTAGTGCACAAGTTGTAAAAATTCTACTGTATAAGTACATTTATGGTAGGTTTGGATTAAAATGATGTAAAATCACTCTTCTATGTATATTTTAAGTTTTAGCATATCTATTTTTAATCTTTAGACTAATTTATAAAGGACATATTCTTATGATTTACGAGTAACTTTTTTATTTGTTTCCCAGTTCTCTCATCACTGATCTTTTCTAGTATGGATAGTAGAATGCAAGATGCCACGGATGAATGTAAATACTTGGGCCCACATAAAAGTTGCCTATACAAAAACTATGCAATTCCAAATTCCCAACTTGTGAACTTCAACATCTATGATGTGCAGAGAGAAAATTTGTGGAAGGTTTTCTTTTTGGTTGGAATGTAAATATGACGTCGAGATACTTTCCATCCTTCAGGTCAGCATAACTCTGATTGCCACTGGATTCAAACGTCAGGATGAAATTGAAGGGAGGCCTCTTCAGGTATCTCTCTTCTCCCCCCCTTGTGTGTGTGTGTGATTGTAATTATTTTGTATCTGGGTGAAATGCAGGGAAGTCAGCTCGGAAATGGAGATGTCAATCTTGGAATCAACGGACGGCCTTCCTCTTTCACTGAAGGTGGGCCAGTGGAGATCCCTGAATTCTTAAGAAAGAAAGGGCGCTCACGCTACCCCAGAGCTTGAAATATTCGTTCAAAGTATTATATCATGTTTATTTGTTTGTTTTCTTTTTGGCCTTTTCTCTATTATTTCATGTTTTCTCTTTGCTTGAATCCCCTCTGAATCTCTGACATGCAATTTCCTAATTGTCTTTAATGGTTGTTACTAAAATCAAGATCTAGACTGTTTACAAGTGTCCTTTCCTATCGATTTAGTAACGAAAAATAAATGAAAAAAAAAATCCTGTTGAGATGGATTGACCTTCACTCCTTCAGTTCTTACAACCATCTCTGTGCCTTTTCTTCTTCAGATTTTTTAGTGACACTAATGTCCATGCAGTCAGCATTCGGTTTCAAATCTATACTTATAAAAGTCTTATTTTTTGAAATTTTCATTGGAAAGAATTTACCCCTTAATCTTAAGATATCATGGGGTAAATTTATATTTTAATAAAAAAGTTTTAATTGTGCCAATAAACCAAGTGAACAACATTTATGAATAAAAATTTTAAGACCCATCTATATTGGACGGGATTTGGTCCAATCCGATCCAGTCCAATGTGAATCCTTACAAAAGGACTAGATCCAATCCAATCCAATGAATATTTTGGGCCATTTTGGACTGGTCCAATTCAATATCTGGACCATCCAATCTGTTCGAATTCGTTTTAATTTAGATTTCTTTCAACCTAAACCCGGTCCATTGACACCTATATTTTAATGGACTATTGGCTCAATCCAACCTAATCCAATATGTATTCATTACGGACAGACCAGGTTTAATCCAATCCAATAAATACTTTGGACCATTAAGTCTGGATTGGTCCAATTCAATACGTCTTGTTGGTCTGTCCAATCCATTCAAATTGATTTTGGTTTGGATGGGGTCCAATCAAAAACCGATCCATTGACACCCTTTCTATTAATAGTGTGAATGAGAGTGAAACTTTTTGTTTGACCAAAACACTCCAATTTTTTAATTTGATCACTTTCATTTTATGGATAGAAATGTAATTTGAACAATCTTTTTTTTCTCACTCAAATCCTTCTCATTAAGTATTATATTTATGGTATGTAATAACTCTCAATAACATTCATTGAATCTTATTCTTGACTAGAATACCCCTATTTATGAATTTGGTCTCTTCAATTATGAGGGCATAAAATGTCATTTGTACTACTACATTTCTTTTCATTCAATTTCCTATAATTAAGTCTTATATTTAGGGTATTAACTCCCATTTTTCATTAACTCTTATATTAATTGATCATATTAAAAAAACTAAGTGTGCCCAATAACAATTGTTTAATTGATGATAGAAATAAAATACAAATTTAAAATAAATCCAAAATGGAATTGTTTTTTTATTTGGTAACAAGTCAACAATTCAACCTTTTTGGTTAAATGTGTAAACCCTTGATATGAAATAAATAATAAAAAATTAAAAATGATAAAAACAAAAAGTATAAAAAATACAAAAAAATGTAGAAGAAATTTTGACACGTGTAATATTGTATATTTATCATATTAAACAAAAAATAAGTGTGATAAATAAAAATAAAATTGTAAAAAATTTTGAAAACATATTATTTACTATCATCATTATCATCATAAAAAATTGTCATGCACGTCCACACTTACTACTCATTACTAAAAATACCATTTGGTGTCAAATCCATTATTTATAAGAGAATCTTCATTTACCCCATCTCATAAATGTTTACTTCACCATTTAAGGTTATGGTGTCATAACTGGGGGTGCAAATTTTACTTCATATAGGGGTAGGTATGGACCGTATGGTGTTATAATTGGGGGTGTTGGAAGTTATAAATTGTTGTGAGTTCAAAGTTTTAAATTGATAACCAGTGGTGAAAATAAGATTTTGTAGGGTGGTGAGATTTCTGACCCTTAATTATTTTCAAAGTAAACGTCTTGAAAGAAAAAGAAGAAAAAAAAAATATATCAAACATAGGTTTCTTTGAAAGAGATTTGCCTCATTATCGATGTGCCCTTATCACTCCCCTTTTCTTGTTGTTTTTTTACCTGAACACCTCTATCAGAAACAAATGAATTTTTTAGGTGTTTTCAATTTAAGTATTCTTAATTATTTGGCTTACAAAAAATATTTTTTAGCTTTGATACTTTCCATTATTTTTTAGCTAGTTGTCATGCCATGGAAGTCAAACCCACTTGGATCATAATAGCAAGGACATGACATGCATATTGAAGATGACAATCATGGTTTTCAAAACCGGACCGGATCGGAAAAACTGGGAACTGGTCAGGTGATGATGGGCTCTGTTTTTTCTCAAAACCAGATTTTTTCCAAAAATTGTTGATTTTGGTCAGCAAACCACTGACCCAGCCGGTTAACTATTTGAACGATTTTGATCATTTTTTTTTATTATTTTGTTAGAACCGGCCAACCGTTCAACCCGGAAACCGGACCCCTGACTGATTCGGCCTCCAGGTTTGTTTTAAAAACCATGACGACAATATCCTACATAAACAAATGAACAGTACATGTAGGAAATGTCCACAATGTAAAAAGCATTGCTTGAAAAAAAATATATGAGCCACTTGACTGGCTTGCCAACTCAGACTTCATTTTTATCATAGTAGTTCTTTTAGAAACCGGATTCAGTCAGTCAGTGCAATGCCCGTTCCAACAGTATAGAGATATTTTCAATGTAAAGCTGTAAAGGTTGTTTGAACACCAGCCTTTGCACTGACTGAAGCCGATCTCGTTCAATTTCATTTTAAACCTTTTCAATAGAAGATGAAACACCCTCATTCGTTTTTATTTCATGCAATCTGCTTCATTTTTCGTTTAGCAGCCTGTGGTTCAAATATTTTATCAGTTCGACTCAGTTTATTTTCAGGTTACCATTTTCTTACTGTTATAACTAGAATTGTATAATTTAAATTTGAAATAGGCAGGTATGCATTGGTTTATAAAATCGAGTATGATTTGTAATGGTTTATTATGTGCTTGTAATGGCTATCAATAGGGTATATATTGGTTTACAATGGTTAGACCGTTTGAGTATTAGTTTGTAACAGTCCACTATCGGTTTGTAGTGGCTTATAAGAATTTGTAATAGTCAGATTTGTTTTTGTAACGATCTGTTAGTTGAGCATTGGTTTATAACAGTTGTTGAGTATTGACTGATGACATCGGATTTCGTCCTTAAAATCAGTCCTTACAAACACTTGCAACCGTACATTGAGAATATTTTCATATTTGTATGTATTGATCCTTTTGTATGTTTTGATTCATAGGAAGATGTATTCAATACATGGCTGAAGTATTGTGAAGTTGGTGTGAGAACAAAACAAAATCTAGATTCTTGACTGATATACATACCAAAACCGATAGTTTCTTACTGTGCCAAGTATAAGCTGATACTTATTGATACTCACCCTGGTCCCAGTAGGGGTGAGTATTCGGTTTATTCGGTTAAAAATTAAATCGAATAAATCTAAATTTTTAAAATCTAAATAAAAAAAATGAAAACCTAATTACAATAAAATTGAAATATCCGAATCAAAATTTTTAATTTGGTTTTTAGTTATTTAGGTTAAAAACTGAAATTAATTAATATATATAATATTATATATTATAACCTATAATATATATTATGAAATTGATTTTCATTATAATGCACTATATGTAATATATTAATATATAAATATATAATATATTATACATTAAATGTTATATATTGAATATTATATATTACATATTATATAATAAATTTTAGTTAATTCATTTTTTTCGGTTAACCAAATTTCTAAATCTGAAAATCGAAACCGAAATTTCTAAAAACCAAACAAACCAAACGGAAAAACCGAAACCAAAATTTTCAATTCGATATTTGGGTTTTAACCGAATAATGCTCACCCCTAGCCCCTAATCACTTGAATCTTGATGCTACTTGACTTTGACCAACACTTCTATTCTGTTTCTTTCTTTTTTTTTTTCAAATATCAAGAGGTCGTTGGGTAAATGATTGCTCTTCTTCAAAACAAAACTGCCATTGTGGCAATTGTTTTGTAATTTGTAAACAAAAGTGACATATTGGTGAAGACCCTCAAATTTTGCATTTTTTTTTACCTCAAAATTTACTCCAAGTGGAGTTCGGATGGACTCCCCACACCTCACCCCCTCATGGATTGGGAATCTCCCGTGCTTCACGGGAGGGATGGGCTGTGGGGAGTCGATCCCATCTCCCCCAAGTGGAGGGGTGGTTACCTTAAAATTTTATTAAGGCTGTATTTGTTTGTAGTGTAAATAAATTTGTATTGATGCAAAACTATGACAGTGCAATTGTGTAAATGATTTGAGTGTAAATTCTGATTTATTTTTGTTTCAAATTTTAGTTTATTTTGTTTGATTGCATTACAAATGAAGTAAATTAGGTTGTGTTTGGTTGTAATGCAAACACAAATATGTACACTACATATTTACCCTTTTTTTGGATCATGATTGCAAATATGGTTTAGATTTTAAACCGTTTTTGCACTTATCTTGTTTGTTTGAAATCAGTGCTAAGTGTAGGCCCCATGGTTAAATGCTCAAACTACCTTATGCTCCAATACCTTAACTTTGGTTAAAAAATTGATTGTAAAAAAAATACAAAATTATATCCAAAAAATAGGTAATAGTCTCTTTTCAAAGTACAAATATGTCAAAACAATACATTTTTTATAATGATAATCATTACTTTTTTACATGTCAAATAAATGCTTGTAAACACGAACACATAAATACCCCATTTTGGTGTTTGTATTGCAAACAAACACTCTACAACCAAAGACGGCCTAACCAGAGTATAGAAAGATACAAAAGCTTAAATTTTGCTGATGTGGCAATTGCTTTTTAAACAAAACAACATATTAGCATCTGTTTGGCATCAATGCCGTTGCTCCAGAAAACGGTGACACATCAGCACCAAGTTGGAAAAAAATAGTGCTCCAAAAAATGTCAATATGTTTGGAACAGTTTTTCCATAAAGCGGTGCTCCAAGCCACTCCTTGGAAATCGAGACGGCATGGTTTGGAGCAACGCTGAATTTGACATTTTTTCAAATTGGAACTCATTAGCTGCCAACGATAACACGATGTAGCAGTGACGTGGACTTCTTATAATGGGTACTAGTGCTGAAAACAGATATAGAGTATTGACACCAAACAAAAAGTGGTGTTGTTATTCCAGGAAATGTCCTACTTAGCAGCAATGTTTCTAAACAAAAAAAAAACACC